AGCTCTACACCTTGTTATCTCAGATTTTCCAGCATCTGCAGTTCCTACTATCTCTGATACAATAGTGTTTCATTTTAGCTTGGTTATAAGAATTCCAGAGGATAATGGTAGCAGATCTTCAATATTAATTCTGACTCTACATCTTTAGTCCTACTGATGAACTCCTATATAGTTTTGAGTTTAATAAAACTGGCTGTAAGATTTAGCAGTATTATAATTCATTGTCTTAACATAAATAAGAAAAAAACTATTATTCAGGAGTAGATACAAGAGTGGGAACAGTGAAGCAGGATTATTTCAGGTTCCTACCTTCTTCATTTCTCTCAGTGTTTTCAGATGCAGGAAGAGGCCGTAATGGAACAATAAGATCATCTGAAGCCAGACCTTCCTCAGCATGTTTCTCAGAGACATGAGTTAGTAACTCATCTTGACTTGGGGAAAACAGGTTGCACAGTTTGCACATGAAGATGGAAACCAGCTCTGAATATGTAGTTGAAAAAGAGAAAAGAAAATTAGTAACAGAAGAAATAATCAGCTTTAAGAAACTATTGTTACTTGGAAAATCTAATGTGTAATACTTCCATGAATGTAATGGTTGTAAAGACCTAGGAATAAGAAAGATTGTAGAATATTACCTAATTGTCTCTCTCTCTCTCACACACACACACACACACACAGGCTGTTAGGCAAAAAAACCTGCTGAAAAAGAAATTAAAAATGAAAATATTGCAGAATGTCTGAGAATCCCTGACTTCATAATTCCAAGTTCTTATTCTGAACTAACAAATCATAAATTTCAAGTCATAAGAGCAATGAGATTTTAAGATAAGCTTTTTCAGCCTTTTCAGTTTTATAATTTGGCATAAGACATATAGTGGGTGGGTGAGTGGGAATCACTTGTCTACCTGTTGATTGGAAGAATGAGGAGGCACAATGCAAGCTAAATGGTGCATTATTAAAGGTAAGAACACAGCCCTGGGAAGATTTGCACATTGGCCTTTGAACCTCAAAGGATAGGTTAATAAAACAGCTAATAAGCTATGTGGAATCCTAGGCTTTATAAATATATGATTTGAGTACAAAAAGCAAACCTATATACAGTCATACAGTGTAGAAATAGGCCCTTCAGCCCAACATGTCTATGTTGATCAACACACACCAAACTACACTAACCCCGATCACCTGTACTTGGCCTATTGCCTAATATGCCCCAGCATTTTAAGTACTCATTGAAATGCTTCTTAAATGTTGCAAGAGAACCCACCTCTACCACCGTCTCAGACAGCACATTCCATATTTCTACCACCCTCTGGTGAAAAGATTTTTCTCAGATCTCCCCTAAACCACTTACTTTTCACCATTTGTCCTGACCACATAAAGCAGGAAAAAAATCTAATCCAGACAGTTATCATCCCATCAGTCTGCTGTCAATCATCAGCAAAGTGATAAATTTTCTAAGATCCATGAAACCTTGCCTTTAAAGGTTCACCTACCACCGGTAATAATGCTAACACTGTATCTCCAGTTGCGAAATTATGAATTTTTGATCTTTTGTCTGCTTCCTGTTTCATCATATGCTGGGCTACTTTTAAATGCTGTCTAGCTAATTCACTCACTTGTTTTAATCTCCCCCTAAAATTTGACACGTGATGTAAATATATAGTCTCTAAATTCTGACTCACCAATTTTTCCATAATTATTTTCAGTGGTCCTCTCACATCATGCCCAAAAACCAAATCAAATGGACTGAATTTAGTTGATTCATTAGGTGCATCCTTATTTGCAAAAAGTACAAACAGCATTCCTTTATCCCAAAGCTCTGGACAGTCTTGACAATAATCCCTCAAAATGGTCTTTAAAGTTTGAAGTGACCATTCTAATGCTCTTTGAAATTCTGGATGGTATGCAGAGGATTTGAATTGTTTTATTTCTAAGCTATCCAACTTTCTTGAATAATTTTGATGTAAAATTTGATCCTTGATCCAATTGAATTTCTGTGGATAGTCTGTATCTAGTAAAAGATTTGAGTCACTCTTCTACAATCCTTTTAGCCGTGATACTGGGTAATGGAATGGCCTCTGGAAATCTAGTTGACATATCCATTATGGTCAACAAGTATTGATTCTCACTTCTAAGGAAGGGTCACCGGACCTGAGACGGTAACTCTGACTTTTTCTTCACAAGTGCTTCCAGACCTGCTGAGCTTTTCCAGCAACTTCTGTTTTTGTTCTTGATTCTCACTTTCTGTTTTAGGGAGTGATCTTGTGTAATCAATTAAGACTCTTGTAAAAGGTCTCTCAAATGCTGGAATGGATATTAAGGGTCCTGGTTTTATCACTGCCTGAGTCTTTCCTATTACCTGACACATGTGACATGTCCGCCAAAATTCAACCACATCTCTATGCAGTCCAGGCCAATAAAAATGTCCTTGTACTTTGGCTTGAGATTTCCCTACTCCCAAATGATCTCCTACTAGTAATGCATGTGCTGCCTGCAACACTTCCTTCCTATATCCCACCAGTAATACTACTTGATGAAATTTTGCTCATTTTTCATCAACTTGAATAAGTGATGGTCTCTATTTCGTCATCAAGAATTCATTTTAAGACAGTAACATTATGGGAAGCACTCAGAATCTTCTTCTGTGGAGGGTTTTTGATACAACCTTTTTTTTAAATCGCTCTGTTGTAATTCAGCGAACTTCTCTGGTGAAAATATCCATTTTTTTCCTCCATTCGTTCTTATTTTTTTTCTCAACTATTGAATCAAACATAGTTCAATTATCAGAAACTTTTTTTTATCTTAATGCTTTGATTCCTCCTCCTGTTTCAATCTGTGGCTTTGTGACCTTGTGACCTTGTTACCACACAGTCAGAAAAATCTCAGGATATATCTCCTGTAACATCTCATTTGGCTGATATTTCTTTTGAAACGTTTTAGCTTCTCCCGTGCTTTCCTTTACCACTATAACAAAATCCACTTGCCCCTCCTGTTTTCCCACATCCTTCATCCCAGTGCCTTTTTTAAACCACCAACACTGCATCTTCATGTATCCTACTTTATTAGAGTGAAAACATCTGAGGCATTTTAATTCTCTACCCCCTACATGGGTTGCCTTTTTAACATGTGGTAAACTATTTTTACTATCTTCAATGAGCTCTCTTTTTCCCTTACCACTTAAGGATTTCTTTTCCCCAATTTCCATTCTTCATAGTTTTAAACTGATGTCAGAAGCCAAACTTTGATTTATAAACTAACTGATAAGAACCTGCCATTTTTGCAGCTAATCTTGCAGTTTTAACTCTCTGCTCTTCAATGATTTCTCACTACTTCAGGAAGTGAATTTTTGAACTCCACCAAAATAACGATCTCTAATAGTGTCATATGTTTGATCTATTTTCGATGCTAATATCCACCTATCAGTGTTAATTTGTTTGATCCTTTCAAACTGTATGTATGTTTGACTAGGTTCCCTTCTTAGATTCCTAAAACGTTGTTTATAGACTTCTGGCACTAGAGTCATAGAGCTGCACAGCAAGGAAACAGATCCTTTGGTCCAACTCATCCATGCCAACCAAATATCCTAAATTAATCTAGTCCCATTTGCCAGTATTTGGCCCAAATCCCTCAAAACCCTTCCTATTCATATACCCATCCAGACATCTTAAATGTTATAAATTTTACCAGCCTCCACCAATTCCTCTGGCAGCTCATTCCATATACACACCACCCTGAGTCAAAAAGTTATTAGGTCCCTTTTAAATACTTCCCCTCTGACCTTAAATCCTCCAGTTTGGACTCCCCCACCCTGGGGAAAAAAGACCTTCGCTATTCATCCTATCCATGACCCTTATGATTTTATGAGTCTCTATAAAGTTACCCATCAGCCTCTGAAACTTCAGGAAAAATAGCCCTGGTCTATTCAGCCTCTCCCAATAGATCAAACCCTCCAAATCTGGTAACATCATTGTAAATCACTTCTGAATCCTTTCAAGTTTCATAGCATCCTTTCTGCAGGGAAATCAGAATTGCACACAGTATTCCAAAAGTGGCTTAACCAATGTCTTGTACAACTGAAATATGACCTCCCAACTCCAATACTTAATGCACTAGCCAATAAAGGCAAACATACCAAACACCTTCTTATCCTATCTATCTGCGACTTCACTTTCAAGGGACTATGTACCTGCACTCTAAGGTCTCTTTGTTCAGCAACACTCTGAGGACCTTACCATTAGGTGTACAAGTCCTGTCCTGATTTGCCTTTCCAAAATGCACCACCTCACACTTATCTAAATTAAACTCCGTCTGCTACTCCTTGTGAATCACAGAAGGTAGGTCTACAGGTACAACAAGTAATTAGGAAGGCAAATGGAATTTTGTCCTTCATTGCTAAAGGGATTGAAATAAAAAGCAGAGAGGTTATGTTGCAGCTGTACAAGGTGCTGGTGAGGCCACACCTGGAGTACTGTGTGCAGTTTTGGTCTCCTTACTTGAGAAAGGATGTACTGGCACTGGAGGGGGTGCAAAGGAGGTTCACTAGGTTGATTCCGGAGTTGAGGGGGTTGGCTTATGAGGAGAGACTGAGTAGATTGGGATTATATTCATTGGAATTCAGAAGATTGAGGGGGGATCTTATAGAAATATATAAAATTACGAAGGGAATAGATAAGATAGAAGTAGAGAGGATGTTTCCACTGGCAGGTGAAGCTAGGACAAGAGGGCATAGCCTCAAGATTAGAGGGAGCAGATTTAGGACTGAACTGAGAAGGAAGTTCTTCACCCAGAGGATTGTTAATCCATGGAATTCCTTGCCCAGTGAAGTAGTTGACGCTACTTCAGTAAACGCTTTCAAAAAAAAGGTAGATTTTTTTTTGAACAATAAAGGAATTAAGGGATACGGTGAGAACGCGGGTAAGTGGATCTGAGTGCACGAAAGGATCAGCCATGATCTTATTGAATGGCGGAGCAGGCTCGAAGGGCCAGATGGCCTACTCCTGCTCCTAGTTCTTATGTTCTTATGTTCTTGCCCCATTGGCCCATCTGATCAAGGTCCCATTGTACTCTGAGGTAACCTTCTTTGCTGTCCACTACACCTCCAATTTTGGTGTCAACTGCCAACTTACTAATCATACCTCCAATGTTCACATCCAAATCATTTATTTAATGATGAAAAGCAGTGGACTAGTACCAATTCTTGCGGCACACCGCTGGTCACAGGCCTCTGAAAAACAACCCTCCATCACTTCCTCCTTTTCTTCTCTCTCTTTATCTCTTTCTTCTGCTGGGGCTATTGTTTCTTTTTCATTTTCTTCTGCTAGGGCTTTTCTTTCTTTTTCTTTTTCCTCTGCTTTCAATTATAAGTCAAACTATTTAATTTCTTTTTCATCTTCAAGCTGTTTTAATTCCTTCGCTCTTTTTTCCGCTGCAAATATCTCTCTTTTCCTTTTGCCACTAATTCAAGTTGCTGCATTTGC